GGCCCACATATTTGAGCCATCCACCCCTGCTTTTCTCAGTGCAGCTGCAGGGAATTGAACATGAAGAGGAGCACCAAAATCTTGAATAAACACTCTGAGTGTCACTGTTGTAGGTTGTAATTTTTTTTTTAATTATGATTTATTTTTATTGGAAAGGCAGATATACAGAGAGGAGGAGAGACAGAGAGGAAGATCTTTCATCTGCTGATTCACTCCCTAAGCAGCTGCAATGGTCAGAAATGAGCCGATCAACAATCAAGAGCCTTTTCCTGGTCTCCCAAGCAGGTGCAGGCTCCCAAGGTTTTGGGCCATCCTCAACTGCTTTCCCAGGCCACAAGCAGGGAGCTGGATGGGAAGCGGGGCTGCTGGGAATGGAACTGGTGCCCACAAGGGATACTGATGTGTGCAAGATGAGGACATTAGCCACAAGGCTACTATGACAGTTCTTGTAGGTTGTAATTTAACTCCCTGTATTATAGTGCTAGCCCTATCCTCTAAAAATTTTTTGATTATATTAATTGTACTAATTAAATATATAATAATAAATGGGGACTGGAAGATAATTATAAAAAGAGTCTAGGGGCTGGTGTTGTGGCCTTGTGTTCTAATTCTCCACTTGTAGTGTCTCCATCTTATATGGGCAACTGGTTTGTGTTCTGATGCAGCTCCCTGCTTCTGACCTGCAAATGCAGCAGAGGATGCCTCAGATCCTTGAACCCCTGCACCCATGTGGGAAACCTGGAAGAAGCTCTTAGCATAAAATATGATCAATCTCATGTGTAATTATGAAGAATGTGGTGGGTACTTCCACATCCATATGTAAGTGTCTGAGTTGGAGAGTTTACTCCATTACTGAATCAGGCTTCCTGCAATTACGCACTCTGGGAGGAAGCTGGTGATAGCTCAAACACTTTAGTCTGGCACTCATATAGCAGAGCCAGGCTGAGGGTCCTGGCTGCTGACTTCAGCCTGACCCTGCTTAGGTTATTGCAGGTATATGGAAAGAGAATTAGCAACTTCTCTACTCCCTCTCTGTCTCCTTCTCCCTCCTTCCTCCTTTTCTCCTCTCCTTTTCCCATTCAGGCTCATAACATTTTAAAATTTATTTTTAATTTTCATATTGATTACATGGGTGAGAGGGTTGCAGACTGATATTGGTCTCTGATTGGGATAGATCAGGTTGAGAAGGGCGAGATGGTAGGTGAGACAAATGTTTCAGTTTTTATTCCTGTGTCCGAAGAGGCATGCAGGAATAAAGCATTACTCCTTGCTGTCCCCAGCCTCTGCGCCTGTGTGCACTGGCAGGTGCTACAGGCTAGTGAAAATGGCATGGAAGAACCCTTACCTGAGCCTCTCTGAGCCCCAGGCTTCACGTATCCCTGTGGGTGCTGCAGTCTTGTAAGGACCCAGCCCGCCTCCAGTCCAAGCTTTTCATCATGGGTGCAGCTGTCTATTCCAGCCCAGCTCACCCACGACCCCAGCTCTCACTTGAACATAATGCATTTTATATTTGAAAATGCTTTAATAGATTCTATAATAACTTAGGTAAAATATATTTTCTTAGTCTTTTCTGTATATTTCAGAGGACTTACAAGGAAGAATAAAAATCATGATTCCTATTATGACAAAAAGAATTGCTAAAAATTGAAAATAAACACTGAGTCAAAAAATCTGTGATGGTAAATAAGATTATAACCAGTTTTCATAGCTCTTTATGTTTCTCTTCCTCATAATGGCACCGATCTATCAATTATTTCTTTTTGAGAGATTTACTACTTAGATGTCTGGAAGAGATAAAGGAGTCTTTGATAGCCTTAATTTCAGCTGCCTCAGCCTTGCCTTATAGGAAAACAAAATCTTACCCTTAAATATCATGGATTGCATATGGTATTCTGTAAAGTTTGTAAGGCACTACATATCATCAATGATAGTCCATGAGAGAACAAATTACCCATTTAATAAAAATCATTAAGCCATTTTGATAGAGTTGATATTTTGATTAAATGGATATTCATAACTGAAAGATGATATTTAACACAGGGTTTAAAAGAGACAATGACCTATTTAGTACCCATCATGCATGATGTGCTGTTACAGAGATCAAAGGCCATGTGTATCACATTTCCACAGTGATGCTGAGGCCCAGACTGAGCAGCGTGGAGAAGTCAAGGAATACTGGGGGTACCTGGAGTCTAGGTCCCCTGGGAGAACAGTCCTTCTGATCCTATTAAATGAAGCACTAAACATGTAATTGTCCCAGATCCCAAATGAAAATGGAAAATGTCTTCATCTTTCCTCTTCAGTAAAGTAGTTACAATGAGACAAGAATTATTCGTGATACAGTAACAAAGCAAAAACCAAACCAAAACAAAAAACCCTCTGTGCCAATGTTATTTCTTCTTCATCTGATATAAATTCAACCAAAAGAAGGGAAGGATGGACAAAAAGGTAGACAACACGCACACATGTACACCAGTGCATTTTCTCAATGCATTTTTATTTTTTAAATTTTATTGCATGTCCTGGTAAACACAAATGGCTTCAAGATCTGCCTCTAGCTCATCAAAATATATAGCACAAAATACCAAAAGACAAGCAACGGAAACTTTAAAAAAAAAAAGTATCACATCTGTGAAAAAGAACCTTGACAAACATCGATAAGGCATATAAAACTTCTGACATTTGCTTAATTTTTGTAAAATTATAAAAATAATTAAAAAAAAACCACATCTCTTAAACATTCAATATCCCACATACTGTACTTTAGGGTAATATCAAGGAAATGAAGCTTTAAAGAATTTAAGGAAGAAAATTCTGCTCCTCACTTCTGTTTATAATCACCTCCAAAGAAATAACATTCAATTCTTTAGCTAACTGCATTGAGCTGAGTCAACAAGAATCCCATTAAGTCCTGGTTCAGTGGCCTGTTCTTAATAATCTTCAACCCCTTCTCCTGGCTACTCAAAGGAGCATGAATCACCACCCAGAAAGTTGTGCCCAGTTTTGGCCAATGCTAAACTCATGAAAAATAGTACAGGAATTTCTGAGTCCCTAGTACCACCTAAATAGTGCTGAAATAGTTCAGAAGTCCTAGGTTTATTCAAACACTCATGTCAAGTAAAGGAAGTCATTTATCCTCCTAACATCACCAAGACACAGCTTTCCTTTTACCCCTTAATGGGTTCGCAAAGCTGCATGCTTGCTCCAGAAATTAACCGTGCTTATCATTTAAGCACAATAATGTTGAAATCAAGGACTCACTCTCTTTAACGTACAAAATTAAAAAAAAAAAATAAAAAAACTCTTTCCCTCCCCTCCCCCTTTCAAATATGATATTATATCTTATTTGGCATGATATTTTTACTAAATGGTATTTTCATGAAAATACAAAAACAATACAAAACGTTTCAATTATGGCTCTGGAAAACCCACTATTCCCCAAGAAAAATTAATCAAAACACAAAGTATGCTGCATATACTATATATATATAGAAATATATATATATATATATATACATACTTTTCAGAGGAAACTCATACATTAGATTTTTTGAGCCAAATTAGCCCCTTTGCACTTTAAAATAAAAATGGTAGCATATGTGCAATGACAGCCCTTTACCAAAATATAGGGGATTATTTCAAAGCTCATTAGCATATATACAAAATATTTGTTTAATATTTTGAAGAAAACAGCATGTTTAAAAAAAAAACTGGGTGGGGTTGAGGGGATACTGTTCTAGAGATGTATTCCAACAGTTTTGAAGCAATTTGGGTCTCATGGTTGCAACAACAGCTTCCATTAGAGGTTGACTTTGGGATCTGCAGAAGCATTTTTATATCTGTGCACAGCCCCAAGGTGAGACAGACACATTTTTCTATCTGTGCACAGTCCCAAAGCGAGAGTTACTAATACTCTTATTCATTAAAAAGAGAAAGACAGGAAAAATCAGTGATGCAACCAATGTTTGGGAATGCTGATCTCATAGTTTTGCATCTTCTCAATCATTTGCCTATTTTAAATCTTCAACAGAGAAGGGGTAAGGAGTGCAGACATGCCGTTTCTTGACTGAAGTGTCCTTGGAAGGAACATTTACCGAGAAACACCATTATCTTTACTTTGAAAGATCATTTAGGAACTACAACTCACAGCTCACTGAGATGCCTTACTTTTTAGTAGACTCAATTTTTTTGAACGATTCCCACTTTTCCTGGATATTCCTAATAGACTAAAAATGGGACTGCTGCAAAGGTATCTATTCCAATTAAGTCAACTTGAATTCTACCAAAAAAAAAATACTAAATGTGCATTTAAGGTAGAGAAACTAGTAAAAAAAAAAAACCTATATTTAAAGGTTTGCATAATAGTGGAAAAATATTCCCAATCAACATGAAAATGCCATGCATTACATTTGAGGAGTTCCTGATAAATGCAGATACATGGTGTCAGATGCTTTGAAACTAGATGACTTTTTAGGCAGAAATTTAGACCGATATCCCTCATTCTCACCCTAAAGCAAGAGAGGATATATATGATGGTTCCATTAGGGTGTGATAACATGAACATGGGCTTTTTCTTGTGCCTGGACTTAATGTTAGCAAAGAGAGCTAACAATACTGGAAGGGAAATCAGTAATGAAAAATACACAACTGTGGAAAATCGTGTACATATATACAGTCTCAAACACTCGGCAAATGAGGATAAACGCAACTGGATCCACCTAGTGTTTGCTGTGGCATACCTTTTGCATTCAAGGGATTTAAGGAACTATATATCTTTATCACTCCTGTGTACCAAACTGCAGATACCTATTACCATCCTTAACACCTCTTGAGAACAGGGAAGTATAGATAAGTCATCCAAAAAAAAAAAAGTAAATAAAAAAGTAAGTGCAACTCAATTTCCTTTGCTTTAAATTACATTTTAGAAATAAATGCCCCCCACCCAAAATATATACTGCATATTTATATATTTATATATAGTCTTAGACTATAAGGCTGAAAATGCTTTATAAAAGTCAATGAGAGATCTCTGCAGCTTAAGGAGACACCCACTGCTTTTGCGCTCGTTTCTACCTAGCCATGACAACTCAGTCCAGCAAGCAATAGTTTTGAAGGCTTAAAGCCTGAGTCAGACTCAGAGGCCAGGTCAGACGTTGGGTAAAAGGACTCCTCTTCTCTTCCCCTTAGGAATTCAGATTGAGAAGAGAGAGAGGTGGAGCTAGGGGGAATGCTTTAATGATTAAGCAGGAGAACCCTATGAGGAGTAGCCGAGCACACGGAGAGCCCATCCAAGGAAGCTCATTCCCCCTCTTCCTTGATGCGCTGTTGCTTGTTTCGTCGGGCATCCATGTCAAAGTTGAAGTCATTCCACTCATCACGGGGTGGGAAAGAGATGGTCTGGCGGAGGGTGAAGCGCACAGCATCGATTACTCTCTCGCCTCGGGTCTCACTGGAACCCACGCTGACCGTAGAGGCACCACTTGGGGTCCGGAGGAGATGGGGAGGTGAGGAAAAGTCGTGCAGCTGCCGGTGGTCCAGGATGCCCTTCCAGATGGCATGTCGGAATTGCTCAGGGATTTTTAGAGTTGCCAAATCCTGTGTAACAGGGAAGGGATTCAGGCAGGTGTAGAACAAAGAGACAATTTGACATGTATTCTACACCACGTTATTATTTCCTGGCACTCTGACTTTTATAAATATTTCTACCTTTAAATTAGGAAATAAAATTAACTTTCGAACAGGCTCCAGTGTTCTGTAACTAAGCACATGGACACAGATGTGAGGTGTCATCTCTAGAAAATGCTTGTGGAAAATATTACACTTATTCCCTACTGGCCTCATTTCCTTCATTGGTAAACACAGAGGTAATAATTAGATGAGAATACAAGATTCCAAACCATAAATGTAAGTTCCTTCCAGCCCTTGAATCTACCTGGTTCTAGCTACTAGAAGTAAGGTATCATTAAAGGAATATCACCCCTACTGAGGGAGGGGATGGAGCAAGAAACATTCCCAATAGAGCTTAAGCAGCATTAGCATGCCAGGCACTGAGGTCATTGTTTGATATTCATGACCTCATTTGGTTTTCAGATTCTCAGTATATATTGCTACACATGTTTTGAAGATGGAGAAACTCAAGTTCTGAGAAGTTGACATGAATAAAAGGACACAGGAAGGCCTCTGAGTACAGAATTGACCTATTGACAAAAGGTTTCTTGCTGTTGGATTAATCAAGGCATCAAAAGGCAGGGTAATTGTGCGTGCACTGTATAAATTGATTAGATGGACAAGTAGGTTCCATCTTCACTAATCATGGTGACATTTCAGTGATAGCTCACTTTTTTTTTTTTTATACAACAGCCTAATGATTAGAAAACATATTGGTTTTGGAATAAAAAAATACAGGTTGAGGTTCCTATCATCACTAACAAACTATTGATTTTTAGCAGTTTTAGACTGTTCCTTTGGTAGCAAATTGGCATATCTCCTTTTTAAAGCCAACACATGTATTCAAATGTAAATGTGGCTACAAAAGTGTTACAAAAATATAAGAATTCATGTATGTTAAGAATGTATATTATTAGCTCTGAATATTTGGGGGAAACTTCGGTATTTAACACTACTCCTCTGTTAGAAAGTAATGCTAAATAACTAGACCTATTATGAGAGAGAAGCTGAAAAAGAGATATCTGTTTCTAGAAATATATAGGAAAAAACTGAGGTGTAGATATGAAAATTGTACAGATTCTCAATATTCCCAATGCAGTCAGAATTTCCCAATTGTGTGAATTTTCAGGCATCAGATTTGCTCCAAATTCCTTCTGTAGCAGAAAAATACATTAAGAAGAAAATAACCCACAAACAGATAAATGAGTGTAACTCTTTGTGCTTATTAAGTTTTTATAACTATGCTAGTCTCCATAGGTCTAAACTTCTTTGTAAACTATCATCCCCTAATCTCTAGGATTTTCTGGATAGATTTTTCACCAGTGACTGACAGATTAAAAGCTTGGACTAAACACTGGCACAACACTTGGTCAACACCAGTAGAGACAGTCTTCTCAACCCAGTTTGCAGATCCTAGTAGCCAGGGAAGCATCCTGAATACCTCCAGTAGGACAGGAGAGTAAATGGAACATCTGACTCCAAAAACAAGGGCAAGCAGAAGTTTCTCTGCACTGCCATTCAGGACTTAAGACAGGAAGCTCTCTCAAATATAAGACAACTCTGTCTATAGTAGAGAGAAGTGATGACAAAGATATTCAAATCTTGTTGGAACCTGCTTGTAAAACTTTCCCTAATGTCCATTCTATCACGGGGCAGCAGTTATGGGGTGTAGAAGGGTGGATAAAGAGTTCACATAGCATGTACTTGTCAGCACAGAGCTGGGGCATCCTCCTGCTGTAGGGGTATCTCAAGCAACGGTGCTCAAGGAGGGGAACAAAGAGGTTCCAATTACAGAAGCAGCAGAGGCAGAGATAGTCTTCTTCCACCAGTCCAAAGTACCCTCTGGAAGCAAGAGAGCACAGAGAACCTCAAAGAAAGCAATGTGAAGAACAGGATGAAAGAGCACTTGGATTGCTAAAAACCAACAGTAGTTCCCATGTGAGCAGCAGGACATGATGCAGAGTAGGAAGCAAGAAAAAGGTGTCCTCCCCTTCAGCTTATGACAGAAAGCAGAGAGCACAGCCAGAAGGGAATAATTTTCAACCCAATATCATTAACTGAAGCCTAGGTAACTCTTGGTTCTCATTGCTATTAAGAGCTTGGTTAGGACTTAAACCCATTATAAGTGATCATATCCTATTCTGATACAACTGAAAATAAATTAAGGAACTTAGATTTTTAATTAAGCATAAGTCAATCTCCTAAAGATTCTAGTTTAAGGAGAGGAAGAAAAGGCACATTGATACAATTCTGTACTAGACATTTATAAGCCAGGATTCTATTCCTGGTTATGTCATCATCTCATCATGAAAAGTGACTATTTTGTCATTTCTTCCATATTATTAAGTGAGAACAATATTTTCTTCATACTATCCTCTTTTATGATGTTAAAGAGAACATCAAAAAAGTTGTGTTAACTATTTAGGGATTACACATTTCTTGATGGTAGTATCAAATCTCTTCTTTCCCATTTTGTATATGATGGGTACAATACACAAATGACTAGTCAGACACCTAAGGAAGTCTAATTTAATTACTTTATTGTTTCTCTTCTGAATAGTCTGAGGTCTAGAAATCTTAGTCACCGGGTAATGGGTCCTATCCAAACAGGACTGGGGTCATGGCAAGAATAAATAAATAAATAAAACTTGTAGGGTTGGATCTCCAAGGTAGATGATACTAGAGGAAGGACATGAAGAAATACAACTCAAAAGAAAAGGCTAGCAGTTACTTACATCCATGGAGTAATGCTCAATCTGATAGATGGTGGTCAGCCCCTGGGTCGTGAAATAGTCCAGACATGATGAACAGCCCAACCTTGCTAAGAAACTGCAGAGGGAGGAGGGAAAAGGAAGGAAGAAACAGAAAAAGAAAGTTCACCCCAACTGCATTGGCGAGATAAAGGAAAACCCAACATTTTGCCCTTGGATGCCCTGCATCACAGAGTAGGGTAAGATAAAGTACATGTGCATGTGGTATTTGAGGATTGTAACTAATGAGTGACTTGCACTTTAAGTATTTAGGAAAGAAAATCAGCCATAGGTGTTCAAGTACTCAGTTATTGCTTTTTATTTAAAAAAAATTATATTCTGTGGAATTCTAATTTGTGGTGTGTCTTAGCAGTCATTGTGGAAGATACAATGAAGGAGTCTGTGAACTTATCAGAACTCTTGCCTCATGGCCCTTCATTTCAAAAAGAGCATCTCATCTAGTTGTATTTGTATTTGTGGTTTTTGAGAATGATTGATATGGTAAAGAAAAACTGTAAATCACTACTCTATAAAGTCATTAATGGTTTTTAAAGTGTATCCTCCTTTTCAACCCCTTCTATTTGGTGCCTTTCTGAGACTGATGACACTACTACATCATAACACATCCAGGTACTTGGAGGATTAGTCCATAGGCTCTTCTATCTCTGTCATGCATGGGCATGAATGTAAATCAATCTGCAGATAGAGGCAGAGGCAAAAATTATATAGTAATCACAAAATTTCGGAAGCTCCCTTTGCTTCTGTGCGTGTGTGTATGTGTGTGTGTGTATGTGTGTATGTGTATGTATGTGTATATATATATATGTTTATGTGTATATATATATATTTCCAGCTTTATGTGTTTCTTTTTTTTTAACTCCTCTATCCTGGTCTGTATCCACTTCTCATATGCAAAACAGTAGAAGCCTTTCGGTTCTTAAAATTTAATGTCACTTTGCTAACGTATAAGTTTTGATGGACATCCAACTCCAAAATTATGGTCCCTTGGTAGCTGAGAGCTGTGAGGCCTAGTAGCTGAGAGCTGTGAGGCCTAGAGAGCAAGAAAGGGAGAGAGACAGAAAGTGTACTTCCCTTTTGGAAAACCCAGCCCTGAGCACCAACTTGAGGGCCACAATTGACAGTGCAAAATGTGAGGGAGGAGGCAGGGAGTAAGTGAAGATGGGCAAGATAGACATGAAAACCATATGTCTATAAACACACATTTTCATCTTTTCCCACGCTCATTATAATAATGTAGTAATTCTCCTCAATTACCATTATTGACTACATGACAGATCAAACAGTGGCTGAACTTTAATCAAGAACTGCTTTTTTTTTTTCTCCAATTCTTTATCAACTTTGCCAGTGTCCACCCTCCACCAACCAGATATGTTTAGGATAGGCACCCAGGGGCATATGTTATGGACTCACCTGACAATGCTGCAATCTGTGGGGTACGGAGGTGGGGGAGTGCAGTGGGAGGTGGATGGCATGGAGAGAGGGGGAGGGAGGGCTTGGGTAGGGCTGAGTCCATTCATGTCTCCAGCCATTGGCATGTGGGTGCCCATCATAGGAACTGAACAGAAGCAGGGGGAATAGAGAGGGTTACTGCCATCATCACATTCCAGCATCCCAGGGCCCATCCTGCCTGGTTTAAGGTTGGGAAGGGACTTAGATACTGGCTTTTATTTTTTATCTTTTGTTTCATTATCCTGTCCCCTTCAAACATGTTGTATGTAATTATATAGAATAGTCACTGGACTCCACAATAATTACATATTTCTTGACCTCCATAGCTCCTCTGATAATCTGTTTCCACTTCTTTCTCTGTGTCTACGTCTGCGTCTAGCGGCACATTATTCCTAATGTTTATGCAGTACCCCTTCTATTTGCCTCCATGGGTTTTGCTTCATCTCTCTCACTATATGAATTTCCTCAAGCGCAGAGATGAGATGGCACTATGTTCAGATTCTTACCCACTTTAGCACTGCATACACAACTAAATGAATAAATGGACAAACTTGTGAGTGAAAGTGATATTTGTCATATTTATTTGTGAATTATGAAGGACATACTGTAATTTCTGTAAGGAAACATATCCGTAATAAGGAAGGACATCACTAAAGATTCCAATTCTCTTATGGATCACTGCTTGTCTCAAAATGTATAAGCATTCACTGATAAAGAAGAGAAGGTTAAAATGAATGCTATTTAGGAAGCAAGACTTTTTTTCAATTAACAAAAGAATTAAGGATATATAAATAAAAAAAGATAATTATGCTTTGTTTTGCTTGATTAATGGCAGTGTGTCCATGAGGAAAGGCCTCTGCTGACTAGCTAACTAGAGAGCACAACCCCAGCAGATTTTCCTGATTTACCCTCTAACTTTTCTTAGTTTAATCAAAGAATCACAAAGCATAAATATTCAAAGCAGATAAAATATAAAATGAAAATAACCATCCAATTTCTGCTATTTTGTCATCCTATATATCAAGTTGAAGATTCTTAGAACTTGTTAGAAGGAAAAAAAAGGAGAACACAAAATATTCATATCCTTTCACTATCAAAATAGCAGATCTGTAAAAAGATCTGGTTCTAAGTTCTAGAAAGCATTCTTCACTACTGAGAGCATGATTTGGTTTTAAAGTCTTGTTGCCACATCATGCAACCATACCATACATAACCAAATCTCATTGAAATGTGAATTTGTTCCAACAAACCATTCAGAGTCATAAACCTACCATGAGTTCTTTGAGAAACCACTCAAAGTGCTATACAAATGCAACTATGGATTTCAGTGAACAAGATGGTGGGGTGGGGATTATAAGGTACCTATTTAATCTTCTGCATCCCAAAATGTATTATAAATTCTTCTGGATTTTTACAATCCTTTTCTTCTGTTAAGTTGGGTATCTACTTTTCTAGTGGGCAGGATAATTATTTTAATAGCAAAACCATATGCCAATCAACATATATTTGGAGGCCCAATTTTCATTGTGCTTTAATTTAAATAATATGAAGAATTTGTATGTGAAAAAATAAAAGGCAAATCTCTCTATAGGTCAATCCCATAGTATGGGTGAGATAGAGCAGATGAGTTTAGAGGGCAAAGTCTGCAAGGAAATTAGCTTATAAGTGATTAAGAAAGCAGAGTGGCAACTTTACTGATGCAAAATTGAGTAACACAGCAAAGAATTTGTCTAGTTTTAATTTTACCATATTTATGCTACATCCTACAAGTTGGATACATTTCTTTTTGAGTCTTGCAAAAGTCCTAGGAAGTATATTCTTTCAGATCTCCTGATCACCACAGAAGGAACAGCTTTTCCCAGTCCACTAGTGTGTTCTCTCCTGAATCATACACCCAAACCACTCAGATGTTGGGATTCACCCCACTTATCTTAGAAACATCGTTTTACCCAATCCACAGCAGAGTTTCAACTACACTAGCCCTATTCATCCCCTGTTTGCTGATTAAAGATGAGGGGTGCTCTTACTGTTGGCTCCCATGCCATCGGGAATGGTGGTGGGAGTGAGGGCGTTGCGCTGCTGGGGGTTGATAAGCTGGCTCACAGAAGGCAGCTTGTTCATACTGTTCATTTTGTTCAGAGGTGGGGAGCTGTTACCGTATGACGACTGAGACTGAATTGAGGTCCTAGGAACACAAACACGGAAAGATGATCAGCATGGGACATTTCGAGCAAGGACTGGTAATTCCCAACAAGCCTCAGAGTAAAGTATGGCCTTGAATTATACACTTGCAAAAATATTCCTCCAGAATTAATGTAAATTATACACATACACACTTCTTGTGTGAATTAGTTACCAGAACTAAACTAGGCATACTAAAGTGAAATGGACGACACCTTTGAGATGCTCATAGAATGGCAGATAACACGAGGATGGTAATCCATCCTACCCTGTATGATGATTGTAAGAACTGACAAACAGAAGCTGAGAAAGAACTTTCTAGACCATGAAGCATTCATATTTTGTAATTACTATGACCACAGAATGAAGATTTGGCTTTCACCATTTTTCTAAGCCTGTATTGAGACAAGCTGTCTTTTAACAATCCTCTGATACATTACTTTATTCCTATTTTCCTTTTTTCCTGTAATTATATTTGAAGGACAAATAAAATGTCTAAATGTCTTCATAGGGTTTTGTTTTAAAAAAAACCTGTAATGCTGAATACTCTTTACATGTGCCTCAGTCAGTTACAATCATAGTAATCATCATACAATAGTATTAAATGTAAAATGATTATGTTTGAAATATTATAGCTGCAATGCTAATTTTTAAAACTGCCACTGTATTTTCTCCACAATTATATGGAATCAGGGAATTCTATATTCCACCCCTCTGAAGTGCTATAGGTAAGGGAATGTTAAAGCCATAAACCACACAACATTTGAATAAAATAGCAGGACAAAATTTAATGTACAATGTACAAGTCAAGTTCATTTTACCACCACAGCCTGCAGGATGGGAGGGCATTGATCGTCTCATTAGCACATCACAAGTACAATTATAGATCCAAATTATAGAAACAGGTATTTATAGATAGGATTATAAAGCCTCTCAGGTGTAATACACTTCAGGTTACCAAGCGCTCCTTCATACATGATTTCAATGATTATCACAACAGCCCTTTGGAGCAAAATATGGTATGACAGAAATAATGATTTCTTACACATAAATGAGTAAAAATGTTGTCTGAGATATATGTGTGTCCAAGATTATACAATACTAAATGGATAAGTTGAGGGTTAAATTAGGTCTTCTGGTATCTGGTCCAAGAGTTTAATTCACTCTATGGCACTTTCTTAGAAATAAGACAGTAATGGAAAGTAGGTTATAGGATGAAAACATAAGTGAAGTGGAAGAGGAAATGCAAGAGACTGAATTAGAGCAAGGAGCAAGATCTACAGTAAAGGGGTCACTCCAGCTATTAGCAAGCACTTCCATTACCACGCAATTCCTTTACATTGATATATTTAGACACATCCTCAAGCTCCTACTACAGTGTAGGGCACTACACAGGGCAAGTCAGCTAAGAGAAGTTTTGCTAGTTGCTTTTTCTCCAGTTTTCTTTTGCCACAGCAATTCAGTACTCGATATGCTACAAAGTAAAATTTTCAATGTAAGTTGGTCTTTTATTGCCTGAAGACCTTTACTAATATGGCCTGCTCTTCCAAGCCAATTGAAAACACAATAAGGTCTAATGAAAACATCACTTGAACCATAGTTTTCAGAATCAGGAAAATAAGGATACACTTACAAAGTCTGGGCGTTCCATGGATCCTCAGTTATCATAAGCGCCTTCTTCTGAATTCTGTTACAACATCCTTCTCCATGTCCCTAGGTTTATTATTTTGACAACCCTTTCATCAGTTAATGTAACGTTTTTACCACAATTGACTTAATTTAAGGAGGGTAGGTCATAAACCACAGACGAACAAAGAAAGAATATAGATTTTGGAGTCAACTAAACCATCTAGGCTAACTTTGGGATCTGATACAAATTAATTATGTGATTTTGAATATTAAATAAGTCTCTTGAGTCTCATATTTTTGATCTATACAATAGGCATAACAACTTTTCAGTGATCTTTTTCATGATAATTAAATGAGAAAATGCAAGAGTCATGGATGCTGATCACTGACTCGTAAGTGTGCAATAAGGTTTGCTTTCACTCTTACTTATAGCCCCAGATGTTGAACACTCTAGTAAATGGCTAAGGGAATGGGAGGTCCAAATTCAAGAATTAAAAGTAGCCAGAGAGATAAAAATTGTAAATCAAACAAATCTAGAAATCAAGACAAGCAAATAATTGGGGATAAGAGAATCTGAAAAGATCAGAAATTCTGAAAATATTTTCAACGTAGAGTGTCTTAAAGCCACAAGAAGGCAGATAAAGTAGTAGGTTGTTAATTTCACAATGTCAGGAGGAAAAAGAGCATTCTGATAGCCTTTGCACATTGAGTAAAAGGAAATGGAACTAGAAAAATTCACGGTCAATTTCAAGGCCTTGTAGGACAACCATATTCTCTCTATCACCATTACAGATGTAATGTCACAGTCCTTGAATAAACAGTCTTTGCAATTTCTGGGGTAAACTGAAGAGCAGCAAAATGCACTCTACAACAGCAAGATCTGTGCAGGTGATTTTTCTTACCCAGTACCCACCAAAATAACAGTCCAGAACATGGAGAGGCAATGCCCGTCAGGAAAAGTAGCACTATGTACACCTAACTCTGTTTTCTTTAGATGTTGATCAGATTCCTCTAGGAACTCAGTGGACAGGATATCACAAGTCATATGCAATGCCTCTTCAGTTTGGAGAGAAATTCAGGTGAAGGGAAGTTGTAGTTCATAGCTCTAACAAGGTAGGCATCTCTATGCATTGCTGGCATTTCAAATTTCAGGGATATTGGTATTAGATCATCTGGGATTAGAAGGTAAGTTTCCCAAGTCCAGCTCTGGTGATTACGTAGTAAGATGTCAAAATTCCTGAGAAGGCACAAGTTATTCTCTCCAACTACAAAATGCTGTGAATTCCATTATACCTGTGCTTTTTCTCTTTATTTTTTAAAATATTTTATACTTCTAATATATCATATAATTTGCTTGTAAAATGTATTAATAGTTAAGGCTAAAACTATTTTAATAAACCATTTCAGAAGTATAGAATTTAAGTAGGGAAACAGATATTGAAGATAAAACTGAACATTACTTGTATGAAAAAGGTCAAAAAAAGAAAAAGAGTCATGAAACATAAGAAAAAGAAGTATAGCTCCTCTAAATTTTGCCCAGTTCAGTACTGTCCCACTATGATCTTCCTCTAGATGGATGCAGCTACATTGAAAGGCTAAGGGCAGCAGTTATTTCCCAGCTTGGCCAAATGCCACTTTTAAATAATTCCATCTATTCAAATATGTACAGTTACAGATGAGATATTATAATCACACCAAACATTTACATTATCAGATAGTTCCCTCTATCAAAACTTAACACTACTACATCTAAAATAAATTCTAAGGCAATTTAACCAATGTAGTTAATTTTTAGTATTGATCACTTTGATAGAGTGTTCATTAAATAAAACTGCAAAAACAATGCCAGAATAAATCTCAGCAGGATCAAAATGACTGCTCTATTACTCATTGGCCTACACATGGCACTTCAAGTATTTACCCAAGAATATTTTAGAAATTCAGGGTCGGGGAAGGTGAGCAAAAGAGACAGAAACAAACAAACAAAAAAACCTGCAAGATAAACCAAGATGCAAAAGTTTATTGGAAATTGAAATCACACATCCATGAAAGCAATAGCCTCAGTAACAAGATATGGTTGTCTTGGTGATACAGAGTGAACTGATTTGGTGTGGGATGATTGGGAAGGAGAACCTGGGGAAATACATGTGAACAGTGGCAGAAACATGGTTGTTTTTATAATGGGTAGCACTGAGGGCGTGAAGTTCCAAATTAGTTACAGACTTGGAGAGAGGTCTTTGAACTCCATTTGGGGCACTTCATAATAGAAAGTGCTGGAGACAATATGAGACTGGGGTGGTTTTTATCTTCTTAATGTAACCACAATATTAGGTGACCAACCTCGGGGTGCACGCAACAGTTTTAGGTTAAGTCTCCAGGGTTTCACGCATCAGAAGGCTGTATTAGACCAGTTATATTGAGATGGTGGCAGACACAGGATCTCACAGAGCACTACTGAGCTTTTCATTTCCACATGAGGAGAAGATAATAATAAGGTAAGTTCTCAATAGGAGAAAAAAACAGGGACCTACTTCTCCCCCACCCCGCAAAGTGGTTGTACTAAGGAATTTTCACCCCTCTGCCCAGCAGTACATTTGACACCTTTGTTTGACACCATTTGCAATATTACTGCATGACCAGCATCCAAGGGCTCAACTGAGTGCCTAAGTCACCTACCATCTACCTAGGCACAGACAGAAACTATGTTTTTCTCCTTTTCTTAAAAAGACATCTTAAGTTTGAGACCTGCTCAAAAGCTTCTATATGGGTTTTAGAAACACAACAGAAGGTCATCGAGACAAGTTCCAATAAACATCTTAATGCCCCTCTCCCCATCTGACTCCCTTCCTCCCAGGAAACAAGCAGAAGCCCACAGACAAACACAGAAGTTCTTGAATGGCCAACACCAGATCTCAGGACACGAATCTGCAGAAAACACCCTTCCTAGTAATGTTTTGAGTCCCTTCCAAAGATTCTCCAATTACAGGCTGTGTTCCTCTGAGCAGTTGGGTCTCTGAGCCAAAGTGTCTTAAAGTCCTGCTTACGAGGGCTGGTTCACTCACATATACACAAGAACACACACAAGGACACACAACACACACACTTCCAACACAGAGGGAGGCTCTATGGATATACTGATCGGTTGGGAGGGTTGGAATGTCTAAAGAAGACGTCAGACTGTTTCGGAGTTTCTCTCCGGGGCTCCACAAGCTCATTCCTGAAGCAGGCTGAAAGGAGACTGCAGAGAGGAACCAGAGAAAAGAAAAGATGAAGGCTTAGGATGTCATGTATTCAAATCGACTGAGCTCAGAACACACTCCTCATACCTTCATGATCATAGCACTTGCAACAGACAGCCTGGGAAGTTTTTTTTTT